AGATAGATAGATAGATAGATAGATAGATAGATAGATAGATAGATAGACAGATAGACAGATTCTTTCTGTCATATTCTAGCATAAGCTCACAATCTAGTCTTCCCCTTTAGGCTGTGTATAAAGAGCTATTTGTTTGTGTGCACCTTCAAATCAGACAAGTGTCCACATTTTTCTTGGGAACATTTTTGGAAGTAGTTTGCCATTGCCTTTTTCTTAGGGCTGAAAGGGACTGACTAGTGGCTAGCCCAAAGTCACCTAGCTGGCTTTATACCTAAGAACTCGTAGTTTCCCAGTTTCTGTGTGATGCCTCAACCAGTATACCAAACTGGCTGTCATAAAGAACTATAGGCTTTGAATTAAAAGGACAGCAGCAAAGCCCCTACATGATCATCTCTCATTTCGTCTCCTCTTTCTAAACTTTTATTAAAATTTATTATAATATAAAATACAATGAAAATAAGGATTAGACAAGGGGAAAAGAGGGGTGCAGGATAATAAGAATATAAGGGGGGAGGGAAGCATTGACGTCCAACTCTTTCCACTACAGTAAAATATGAACTATAGTTACAGTCTCCATTCTCTATTACATTTACTAACTACCAGCCAATTCTATAACTAAACAATTATCCTACCTTCAAACTAAAGTCTAAAGGGTTTTTTTTTTCCTTCTATTTTGAGCAAAAAGTTCAGAAGCAATTCCCAAATGGAAACCAAACTGGATAAAAGTTTGTCTTAGTTTAAAACAGTTAACAATGCCATCTCAACCAAATCCATTTTTTCTGTCCATTTTTCTACTGTAAAAGATAATATATCTTTCTATTTACATTTATTAGATTATGCATTGTCACCATCTATGATAGCAAAAAGTCCACATATTCTTTCAAATTCTTTGTCCAACAACCCTAAAGAAAAAAAAACTTCTATGTTCTATGTTTTAAAATCTTATATTCATTTTAAAGTCCAAGCTTTAAAAATGCTTTTAAAATTGCCATCCTTACAGATACAATTCCTTCTAATACATTGTTTTATTTTAAAAAATCTTTCTAGTTACATAAATCATTATAAATTTCCCATTGGTCAAACATTTCACACAGTATTAAACATATTCAGTTTCCAAATTCAGTTTCAGCAAATATTTTGCAAATTATAACAGTAACTTATTCATCATACTTTCAAACCCACTTGTTATTAGTACAAAATAATAAGTTTTCTTATCCAAATTTAATATTTCTTTTAACATATGTTAAATCAGTAAGGGTCCTGTCTTTCTGACTCCAATTTTCCTATTAAGTTTGTCATCCCCTTCAATAAAATCTTTATCTTCAAAATAGCTCCTGAACAGGTACTCACTGTGTTTTCTCTCAGAATGTTCTCAGATACTTCTTTTAGACCAGTTATTCTCTTATAATGCAATGACTTACTTACAGTTCTTCTTTTAATTCCACTAGAACAATTTTGTTTAAGTCACCCTCATAATGAGCACTCTTACTGTCAATTCTTATATTGTAAGAAATCATCTTTATCATTTCCTTTGCCCTTCATTTGTGAAGCGATCTCAGTGATTTGATAAATTTCTGCACTTGTTGCATCCCTGGGTCATTGATCTTTCTTCCGAATGCTTGAATTGTTTGAATTATTTTGTCTGAGCATTCCTGCAAGACGCTTCTCATGAGGTCTAGCCACCTTAACAGCCTTCTATGATAGTGTTTCAGTTTGTTTTCCGTCTTGTTTGTCTCAGGATTTTATAGAACAGGAACAAAAGCCTCAGTGTTTTGTAGTTTTTGGCTCCCTCTTATGGTCAAAGAATAAATCTTTTAAAAATATATTTGTAGATCAGCAGTTGTGTCTTGGCCAATCAGATTCAGTTATAATTGGAAGATTTTTACCCCCCCCCCCCCAATAAGAATTTAAAGTCACAAGTTATAACGTCCAATATCAAATGAACTTAACAGATTTTTGTTGTTGTTGTTGTTTTTAAAAAAGCAAAATTAAGCCACCACATTTTAAATCCGTATGTTTCTCAGAAAAAGTTAAGGAAAGGAAATTTTCTATGTTTCCTGATTTTGGCTCACTGCCTGTCATCCTCTTCCTTGTCATTTAGTAATAAAAATGTCTCTAAAGCAGCACTGTTCTTCAAAAAGGAATACGAGACTGTGACCAAAAAAAAAAAAAAAACTTCTTTTAAATCAGCAAAAATGATAAAGTTGCGGGGTGCAACCTGAGTTGGTCACTGGGACCAGAGGTTTATTCTTCCAAGTTTTTGGATTTGTGGTGGAGCCCTTCTCTCTTCATAATGTGTTCTTCTCACCACACACTCTGGAGTTCCCTGAGGATGGGCTCCAATCTGAGTCCAAAAGCTTGGAAGAATAAACCTTTGTCA